ATTTTTCTGATCTGATCTGATCTGATCTGAATAAAATAAGAATAAGCAATAAGTAATAAGAATAAGACGAACAGAACAGCACCTAAGTCGCAATTGATTGGAAATTTGTGTATTTATTAACTTTGGTACTTTTTTGTAATCATTCACGCGAAACTTAGGTTGTAACACTATTTCCAAAGGTAAGGTACTTAAAGTCTTAAAGTTAAATTTCAGTCGTGAAGTCATTTTAAACTTTAATTACTTTTCACCCAAGTTCAAAAAGTTATAAACAAGAAAATCAAAAAGGTCACATCAAACATGACTTGCATCTTACTCCTACGTAAAAAACATACTCCGTAATTATTTGTTATCAATCCATATAGTCTCCTTTGAATTTACTATAAATGCACCCGTAAAAGCATTTAATTAAACAGTAAACCCATCAAAAGAAAGTAAAAAGGGAAATTAGTGAAATAAGAGTAAGAATAAGTTAAAATAAAAGGTTGACCAAGTTGTTTAGAGTATTGAAGTAAATATCTTAGCTTGTCAAATTGAAGGAGTTTAGAAAAGGGTTTCTTATCATAATGTTGGGACAGAATAACACAAGGATCAGTAAAAAGAATGTATGACAAAGCAAAAAGTATGCGTCATATGATTAAAGTAGCTATAGCTCATACGGAGTTAGGGTTGGTTTGCAACCGCTTTTAAAAAAGCACTTCTCAGCTTTTGGCTTTAAAAAAGTACTTATTTTCCCAAACACTACAACTTTTATTTTTCTCGGCTTCCGCGTCAAAAGTGCTTTTACTTTTTCTATTACACAAAAAGCACTTATTTTACCAAACACTACCCACTTTTACTTTTCAAAATCACTTTTTTCTCAAACACTATCAACTTTTATTTAATCACTTCTCTCCATTTCATTAAAAAAACACTTTTTTAAAAGCAGAAGCTGTTGCAAACAGACCCTAACTAGTTGACCGAGCTAACCTTCACTCCTATTCTAAGCAGTTTTGCTAGGTGTACCCAAAATGTGTACACCTTTTTTGTACATTTGTCTGTTTTTCGTAGACAAGTTGTTTATCACAGACAACTCATTTTAAGCTATATGCGAAAGACAGACAAATGTACAAAAAAGATATACATGTGTATCCCTAACATTTTTCTATTCTAAATGACGAATTGAGAACTCACTAAAAAAGTAGTACATACTACATACGATAGTATTACGGAGTATTACGTATATATATACAAATAAATTAGATAGTTCAATAAAATATAAATTTTATAATGTTTAAAGTAGCCAAATTATGCAATTTTAAAACAATACTCTATATTACATAGTCCATGAGCTTTCATCACTTGAATAGGGTTGTCCTCTTAACGGTCTTCAAAGCAAAACCATTATTCATATCTTTATAAACCATGTTATATTTCATCCCCGTTTGTAAAAATTAAAAGTCGTATGCATTCTTAAGTAATACATAACTACAAAAATCAAATCTATAATTATTCACTCTATAATGTTGACTTTTTAGAATGGAATCACTAGTCCTAGCAGGTGTGATATCAGAACTAAATCGATCGATAACCATGGTGTGGGGAGCCTTATGAAAACTGAAGACACGATTATAAAAAATGACAATGACAAACTGACGAGAAAAAATAAACGCCAGCACGATTCGGGTGAAATGTCTGGTCGTGAGGAATGTTAAAGTCTCATACCATTAATTAAGAAGTATCATATTGATATATTAAGATCCTAGACTACTACTCCTAGCGTATTGACTTTTGAGAATGAAACCTCATGTTTAAGTAGTGAGCCCCTGTGCTAAGCAACTATTGTAGTTGGCTTAGATTGGAAATAAAAGAAACTTAATTAACCTGATGTCTGGTCAAGCCAAATGGTTAAACCATTGTTGTCCACGCTTTGATGGTTTGCCCCCCAAAGGGTCTTATAAGCTTCATAGAAGCTCATGGACCTGAACCTTGAACTAGGGTAGTAGCCCGGGGAAGGTGGCCAGTTACCAGCTGCATTGCTTGACCAAGGAAAGTTCACCGCGAGGATGAGAAACATGAAACGGACAGAGAGTGAAGTAGTCATGAATAATGGAAGATCGATCAAGTGGAGACTTGAATCAATGCTGGAACTCATACCATACATATATTGGTGTATATATAGTGATGGCGAACATTAAACTGTGCGCGTACAGTATATAAATGCAGGTTGACAAGAGGGAGTTTAGGCCAGGCAATGGGTATATGCAGAGGAAGTGGCATCGACCAAAGATGCCATAAATAGGGAGATTGGCGTGGGTCCCATGTTGTGGCATACATATATGTATATACATAATATGTAGTAGTTGATGGTCAAGTATCAATTAATATTTTGAGTATGTCCAAATATACAAAAAAAGGGACTTGATCAATATTACATGAGTGAAAGTTAAATTAATCTAAAATTTTAACTGCCGGAGTAACTATATGTAAGAGGTTTTTTGTATGTGAGTCCCGTTCTCAGACAAAATATATATACATGTTTTTGTGCATGATCCTACTTTAAGGATGTTTTCTTTTGAACTGTTTTCACTTCCAGACCAAACCAAATCAGACCAGATCAGACCAGACTTTCGTAGTTATAAAATACACAGAGATCAGACATATTCCAGACCAGACCAGATTAGACCAGATCAGCAAATTTCACTTCAAAAAAAACATCCTAACGGGGATTACTATCCTGATTTGATTGTTTTAGACTTTTTAGGTACAGCTCCTTGTTACACTTACGTTGACCAAGTTATTTTCTGGTTTTGTCAGAGTTATTCTTCTACTTTTTAGATGACCGCAAATCAAAATTGAGTATTGTGTTGATGTTTTTATAATCTTCTGTAGTATATTCATTTTTGGAATTAGGGATGATTGTAGTGTCAGCGTCACCTTTGGTAATAACGTTGTTCCCTTCTTCTATAATACCGTAGTAATTAAGTTGTATTTTGATGGAGCTTGAGAGTCTCTCTCTAAACTTTCGTTTACTCCTAGGGCTCGGCCGGCCACTAGGTACGGGGTTAAATAATCTTAAATAAAGGCCCTTATCAACATGAGTTTTTCGGTGGTATATTTTTCTAATTAAAAGAATTTGTACCACAAGCAATATTAAGTACGGGGTAACTAAATGAACTTCGTACAATATAATATAAAAACTGAATATTAGAACACAATTTAAATAACAAAGCTATCATACTATATTTAAAACCAATGTGCTAGATAATCCGTATATAAGTCTTATTTGTAAATTAGAGAAGAACTCAATCTTATTTGTGTTTTCTTCTTTTTAACTGACTCAGATGCAAATCATGCAAGTGTTCAAATGCTATTGAATTAGAAAGTATGTGTTGTGAGCTATTCAATTAGAAAGTATATGTTTCAATTAATTCAACACAAGACAAAGTATATGTTGCAAATTTTGCAATTAATTCAACACAAGACTTGTTGGTGTAAATCGATCCAAATTCACTCAAAAAGAATAAAAATGAAAAATGAATGAAGAATTAAGAATGAGTGGAAATCACGACTCTTCTAATTAATCTAAGTCAACATTCGTGTATTCATCTTCTCTTCCTCACACAATAAATGGTCTTTAAAACTTTTTATAAAGCAAGTTTTAACAAAAAATTCAATAATTAAAACTCGAAATTTAAGTAAAAGAAGAAAAAAAACATGATAGCACTTAACTAACAAGTTAGCTCTTTTAAATTTACAAACCAACAACTCAATAATTGAAAAACATTTGTGTATATATTTATATAAAGGTTTTTAAAAAAAATGGGCCCCTAATTTTTTAACATTTTGTGGACCCTGAGGCCCATGCCTCATTGGCCTCAACATTAGGCACGGCCCTGCCACTAGGGTTCGGTTGCCGATTTCGTTATCTACGAAGATCGGTAGTTTCAGATGGGGAAGGCTTCGCTAGCGGTAGTCTCAGTGTAACACCGTCCCCAAATGTATTTACTTTTATGTAAATGATGTAATAAACCTTATGGAATGATTTATAAATTTACGAAGTTGTAAATTTTTATTTATTCTTTCGCGTGAATAGTAAATTGCACGTGGGACCCACACCGGGAGCGGGGGCCGCCCGATTTTCCCGAGACCATACATTTTATTCATCATGGTCTAGATAATAAATATGTAGTGGTGGATATTTCATTTGGGACATGGAAAGGCCCGGAGTTGACCGATTGGTCAAAAGAAGCCCAAATTACCAGTACTGGTAATTTAACTGATAACAGCCCGAACTGAATTTCGGAGGCTTATAAATTAAAGTTGGGGAATGTATATTCATTATACATGTCATAATGAGTAAGAGCACATAATATATTTTATTTGACCTGATAAAATAAAATATATTTAAAACAGTCCGAAAAATACAACTTTCGGGACCGATTGTACACTTCGGGACACAAAGGGTTGACCTCCCACATGAGTGGGGGCCAACCCACGAATTTGGACACTCAATATGGGGTGTTGGCCGCTGGAATGGGAATAGGAAGGTGGGAGGTGTTGGAGATTGAATGGAAAGGCATCAAAAGTACCTAAGGTGGACCCTCATTTTGCACTCATTGGATTAATGAGACAAAAGTCCATTCTCATCCCTCTCCCCTCTTCATTTTCGGCCAAGCTACAGCAAGAAGAGAAAGAAAACTCTTCTTCTTCCTTCCTCCATTGTTGAAGAGAGCTCATCAAAGAAGAATCACCCAAAAAGGAGCTAAAGTGCTAAAAGTGTGAAATAATTAAGGTAATGACCTTATTATAACTTTTTCTTTATTTTTCTTCTACCATATGAAGTATATAGCATATGAAGAACCTTTAGTATGGTTCCATATGTTATAAGTATGGATTCATGGGTTGGAAGGTGGTTCTACGTCCAAAAACGGACTTAGAAGCCAAAACGACCGGTTCACCGGAAAATAACCTTTTAGAGGTTATTTGTATTAATATGGGTTTTATGATTATAAAACCTTGTTAGGCACTTGTAAAGGGTATTTCAAGTGATTTCACAAAGTTGGAAAAGTCGCCGGAGTTGTCGCCGGAGTTGACCAAAAGTCGCCGGAGTTTCACCGGAGTTCAACCAAGAAGGGTGGAACTTCATAACACTAGTTCAAGGTGAGTGGACGGCTTAATATCTTATAACTTTTGGGTTAATTATGAGATTACCTAAATAAATGTTATATGAGTTCATAATGATGTTTAAAAGATATTTAAACATGTGATTAGCCAATAGGGTTAAGTTTGTATAAAAGAAATAAATGATTTATGCATGGAATATGATATGAGGAATTACATAAAATCCATATTTGTTTGAAAGGTATAAGGAACACCAAATGAACATTATCAATTTAATTACATGATGATTAAGTCGATAAGTGTAAGACTTGAAATGGCGGTCAACGACACCGTTGACCGGTGGATAATGGATTAATTAATATCGGTTGATATTAGTTAGTTATACATTTATAGAATCGCATGGTTTGCATGGATTGTGATACATAAGCTTTATGTATTGAATTAGTTATGAGTAACTAAGTGTGATATAAACTCTATCTAGGTTGATAGAAGGTTGATCATAGGAAAATATTTTGGTGGAGGACCCTAGTACTCAAAAGTACTTAACACTCAAAATTTGGTGGAGGACCCTAGGACTTAAAGTCCTTAACACTCGGATTATAAATTGGTGGAGGACCCTAGGACTTAAAGTCCTTAACACTCAGATTATAAATTGGTGGAGGACCCTAGTACTTAAAAGTACTTAACACTCAAACTTGGTGGAGGACCCTAGGACTTAAAAGTCCTTAACACTCAAACTTGGTGGAGGACCCTAGTACTTAAGAGTACTTAACACTCAAACTTGGTGGAGGACCCTAGTACTTAAAAGTACTTAACACTCAAACTTGGTGGAGGACCCTAGTACTTAAAAGTACTTAACACTCAAAACTTGGTGGAGGACCCTAGGACTTATGAGTCCTTAACACTCGCAAACCGGTGGAGTACCCAAGGATTATGATCCTCAAAACTCATAGATTATGATATTGAAATAGGGACAAGGAGGAGTCCTATACACTCATTGGTATATGGGTGGGTTGGGGTTTTTAGTCAAGAATATTGACTATTACTATTCTTCCCAAATAAAATGGTGATCTACGGATCGGATATTTTCCAAGTATATATTTATACTAATAAGTATTTCATAACTTGGGGGAAAGACTATCTATTTAAGTATCACCCTATGTTTGGGTCTTATACTTGAAACGCTAGTTATTCTATATTTAGCCTGCTACTCGCTCGGTACTTGTACTGACCCCTTCGGGGGGCCCCACCATTTTCAGGTTGAAGCTAGGGCTTGCTACTTGCACCTTCTCACGGGTGGTATCAAATCAGGAAGACGTGGTTCGTGCTTCCTTATTTTCTTTCAAACTACCGAACACTTGCTCATGGATATTTGTTCTACTATAAACTATTTTTGGGGCTTGCATGCCCATGTTGTTGGCCGGTTGTGGCCTATGACTTACCGTTGAATATTTTCCGCTATTCATTGGTTTAAATGTGATGTTGTTATGTATGTTTACTACTGAGTATGGATGGATTGTTTTCTCGAACGCCTTGTGTAATTGAGTGAGGTTGACTCGTGGGTGACGTCACTTAGTTATACGGCGGTTGTACACGCGCTTGGATTGCGGTCTGGGGCGTGACACTCAGACCTGAGCAAGAAGAGCAGGGGCTTCGACCGTGACAAAGTCTTTGATGGAAGATATTGTTAATTCGTATAAGAGGATGTCGATTGAGGAACAAGTGAACGAGCTTAACTTCGACGAGGAGGTGGAAGAGGGAGGGGAGGAGGCGAACGAACCACAGGTCTTCCCGGTGGTTGGGGTTGTCGTCTCGGACCGAACGGTCAAATTGTCGGGTTTCCAAGAATTGATGGCTTCTATCTGGCGTCTAGGGAGAGGTATGACTATCAAGGAGATTGGAGAAAAAAAGGTATCTGCTTAATTTTAATCATGTTTTGGATATGAATCGTGTGCTTGAAGATGGCCCTTGGCTTTTTGAACGTGATTTAATCCTATTGAAAGCTGTTCAGCCAGATGACATCCCTGAAACAATGACTTTATTTAAGGCTAGTTTTTTGGTACAGGTTCATAATGCCCCTATTAAATTTAGAAATTTGGGTTCTACGACCAGGAAAACTGGTAATTTTTTAGGCTCTTTTATTAAATTTGAGATGAGCCAATTTGAAGGTAAACAAAGCTCTTATTCGTATATAAGGGTGTGCTTGGATGTTCGCAGGCCTTTAAAAAAGGGCACTACTTTAACAAAAAATGTGGTTCAGCATTGGGTGGATTTTAAATATGAAAAACTACTCAGCTTTTGCTTTTTGTGTGGTATAATTGGACATTCTGATAAATTCTGTCCTTTAAAGTATGAAGAAGGCTTTGTAGTTGAAAAGTCTTTTAGGATGGAACTCGGTGCAGGGGGGTGAAGACGAGCCCAACAGGACCCAATAAGTGGCTATCTAATACAGCCTCGAGTTCAGGAGGATACAGATATCAGATGAAGGCTTATCTCGGGGGAGAATTTTCGGCTGAGTCAAAGGCCAATATGCAATAGAACGAGATAGAAGATAGGGAAGAAACTCCTGGAGATACAAAGCGAAGGAGAATCTGGGATAATCAGGCCAAAGGAGACATAGCGGGTGAAGGAATGGCTCTGGATGGGCCAAAAAATGGGGAAGCGGCGAGTCAGCTGCCTTAGACCCGCCGAGATTTTATTGGATGGTGCTGGCAAGGAAGACTAGTGGCGGTGTTATCTTTATTTTCTGTTTTGTTTGCTTTTATTTTGGAGACTATGTTCTGTTTTGCTCTTATTCTTATGTTATTTTGCTTTGTAAGACTCTTGCATTAGGTTTGGGGATGAAAGATCTACGGTAACCGTCATTGGCTTTAAGTTGCCCAATTCAGGTCTAGCAAGTTATACTGCTTTTTTACAGGTGGTTAACTCTCAGTCTCGGCCACGAGCGGATGGTTATTTGTGGTTCTTTTATTATCCTGTACCCCTGCTGAATGCTATTATTATTATGAATTAAGCCATCTTCGGAAAAAAAAGTTGTATTTTGATGAAATTCAAAGATTTTATAATGGGGTATGGTGGGCTAAAGTGAAAGTAATTTTCTTTTTTCTTTTTGAAAGTGAGAGTAATTTGATCTTTCCAATGCTTTTAATAAGATTTTTTTCTTTTTTCATATTTAATTCATCCCGTTAATATTTAAGACTAGTCTTAATCTTTTGATACAGAGTACATATATAATAAGTGGTACGGAGTTAAAGTTATGTGTGGAATTTATTTTTCAATTACAAGCAAAAGTCATTGCAATACTATCATATAATTCCTATTATTGAGCATTTGAGCATCTAAATATATCTTGTATATAATTAATAAGAGGTTTCTTGAGTTTTTTTTATATATGAAAGGTTTCTTGAGATTTGATAAGCATATTTAGTTAAAGGACTTGAATACTTTTTAAAAAATACGTAGTAATAATTAAGGACTTGAATACTTATTACTACGTCATACGCTTTCGATATACGTATTTATATATGTATGTATGGTTAGCAAGCATCAAAACATAATATCTCAGTAATTATTAATAAAAAATTGATATATATAGATACATATATAGGTATTTCGAAAGACATCTTTCTTTTTTGGCAAAATTCCCGAAATATGAAAGAATATGTTTTGGAATTACAAAATAGAAGCGTTATATTTTTCTTCCCGAAATATGAGTAACATAACAATATTTATTGTCGTCTTGAAGTAAGTATTACTAAATAGTTGCAGTATTATACATTAATATGACAATATTTACCATCATTAATGACAATACTTTTAAATCATGAAAGTAATGACTGTTATATGGAGAAGAAAAACTTATTTTGGAAATCGAAAACCTATTTATTTCTATTTAGGCAGGCCATTTCTCCTGTATATATTCTCTAATCTATGAAATATGAGGTTAAGATCAGCTTATTTTCGGCAAATTAAATCACATCATCTTGTGGTCATCAGTCCATCCGATAGCTCTTGAGGCGACTAACAATTTTGTTCGTTTATTGCATTTCCACACTTGACACCCACTTGTCCTAGCCATCTACCATTAATTAAATTGGTGCTCTTGTAATCTTGTTAGTGTCGGCAAACTTTTGCAATTTTAAAAAGATTGGAAAATTTATATGGAGTCCCGTCATAAAAAACAGTACGGGCATAGTATATGCTATCGTACTTTATTGGCAATTTGTCTCTTTCTCAAGCGATAAACCTTTAGACCACCTGTAATCGAAAGATATTTGTAATCCCAAATATAAAAAATGAACATTTTGAACTCTAAAATTGTTACATTGAATTGGGAGAAACTTTGGAGGTTAAAAGTGGAAGGTAGGGACTGGGGGGAGAAGGTTAACCAGAACAATTTTATTCACCCCACCCGATTGAGCAGCAAGATAACATTGCAATTAATTTTAATTTTGCAATTATATATTATTACTTTTTCATTTGTTATTCATATGATTTTTCATATGATACCAACATTGTATATATGGAATAACAAATAAAATTGGTTTAAAATAGATTTAAGAAAAAAAATCATTTTTATATGCAATACTGATATCATTGGAAAGATCATAAAAAATATTGAATCTGATATATACCTTTGAATTATAAACAAAAAAGTTATTACTCTGTATAATTTTAAGGAAAAAAAGAATTGTGTTGCCAAATGACAAGCATGGAGGGGAGGGAGTGATGTTCACCCTCCAAGGAGTCAAGGTTGACACCCAAGAAGCATGAAAGCAAGCAAAGAAAAGGAAAATGGTGGGAAAAAAGATGGTAGCAGTTGCGCCACGGGTGCACAAAACAAACCCTATTTTGAAGGATTGGGGATTGAGATCTTTTTTATGGGGTTATAGAACACAATCAAAATGATGAGTGCATCCGAATAGCGGAATATTCTACTTGCACAGGGAGAACTTATTTCAGATATGACAGTGCAGTGTTGTGATTGGTTGAGGATAATTTTACTCAAAATGTTTTATCCATTTCTAAGATGTTATTTAACGCAGATATTGATGGTATTTTATCTACGGATAGAGAATCTAGAGAAGATGACACGAGTTTCTCTTGATCAGCCACTTGATATGGACGAGGCTGAAAGAGTTCATAATGATTTAGACTCTATGAATGAAGAGCCGGAGGTTGTTTTTGATGATGAAGTGAATAGACAAAATGATACGTTGGTTGATCAAGTGACTCACGCTACTGCAGAGAGTCAAACAACAAATACAACATGTGGTTCAATAATGTCTTGTGCGAAGGTTGGAGCAGAATCAAAAGAGGATTATCATAACTTTCTTGCCAACATTATAGTTAAACTTCAATTATTTCAAAAAGAGCTTAAATGGAGTAAAATGTCTAGGAGAAACAACTTAATTTGGTGCAATTGAACACAGTGGCTCATATACCATAAGAAGAAGAAGGTTTCATGGTTGTATTTTCCAAAAAATCCGAAAGACGTAATGAATCAACACCTAAGAGTATTGAGACCAGGCAGCAAGCACGATTGCATAACACCAGACAGCATACCCAACAGAGAACTCGTGCCAATTACTCCAACACAACTTATTAACCATTTACTCTCGTGTTTTCCTCATTTTATTTTTTCTGTTTTTTTTCATTTACTTTCTACCTTCATTAGCGTTTGTATTTTTTGAAAAAAAAACAAGTGCACATATAGGACTATTATTGTTATTTTTAAAATATGACTTATTCACTCTTAATATGAGAAGATTTGTACTTTTATATAATAGAATTAAATAAGTCATATTTTGAAAATAAAACACATATAGTTCTATTGATACATTTTGTTTAAGTTTTATTCTTATTGAGGGCAATTTCTATAAAAAAATCCAAATTACACTTCCCATCCAATAGATTGTTTAAGAGAAAAATGCCTTGTTTTAAAAAAAAGCCTAAACTAAGAATAAAACATAGCCTTTTTTCAAAAATAGGATAATATGATTCATTTTCTCTAAGATCTCATTTGTTGACCCTGGTTTTCAGTTTATCAAGCTCTTAATCTAACTTTTGCATCAAGTACGTAACTTTGATTTCACGCACTGAATTGTGTAATAATAACAAAATATAAGGTTGAAGTTACTTTTCTGGTTGTATTAGCTGAAGTTACTGTAGAGCTTCATTTTAGCTATTTTCATATTTTTTTTATTCATTAATAGAAAATATTTTAAATATAATTTGTTCGTAAATAAGTAGAATCAGTCAATCCAGCCACTTCAAAACTTAATAAATTTTAGCAAAACCATTCAATTCAACCAATTTTAGTGTTACTAAACGGGCTCTAAATAAGACTAATCATTCAATTTCTACCTCTAATTTAATTAATTAATTAATTAATTAACCTAGTTAATTGTCCAGTAGTTCCCTTGCATGAGCAAGACAGTCCCTTGGTGGCAGGATCAGTCTGTGATGGTGGTAGCCCACGGTGGCGGCGAATTTCAGGCAACTCAACAGGGAAGTGCAAGAATACTTTCCGACAACAAGTGGTATTTTTATCTAGTCACAAATAAAAAGTAATATTCAACCTAGTTTAACTAGTAGGACATATTTTTAAAAAAAATATTCCTATCTGAGGACTTCTCCCATTGTTTAATTAAAGAAACAGGCCATGCATAATTATATGAAAAAATTGTTTAAACAAGGCTAAAATATAGTCTTTTTTAAATAGGATCATATGTTTAGTTTTACCTGAATAGGACTAATCTACCCATTTCTATTCCTAATTAATTTCCCCCATTTCCTTGCATGTTCAATTTGTTGGAAATACTTTTACAACTGAAGCAATACAAGAGCAAATCGAATGAATTGTTCTAACAATTCCAGGACCTTCATCATGTTGAATAATAGAGTATAATAATACTACTACCTCGATCCTTGGCGAAAACGTAAGGAGAATGGAACAACATAGATGGTGTTTGGCTCTTCCTCAATTGAACTGTCTCGAGGCTTTAGTCTCTCTTCTGATGGGGAGAAGAGAAAGTGAATGGTGTGGTTCAATGTATTGGGGACCATAACCTATTTATAGAGTTTGTGTGTCTAGCTAAGGCTCCCATTAAACCTTAACAAGTAACATGGGCCTCTGCCCATTTATTTGGCTCATACAATTTATCTTAATAGTCTATTGGGTTTATATAATATTGACCACATAAAACTCAATTATGATAAATAGCTAACACAATAATTATAATATTAGCCCATATTAATTATTGGAATAAAACATTTCAACAATCTCCCACATGGGCTACATATTTTAATTATACGAAGTATTTCTTTAAGCGTGTCTGAATATGTTATCTATCTTTACACTTGAACTTAGTCAATCTGGTCCACCTCATGTAAAGGATCACTGCAGCTTTTGTAATATTGTTAATTCATGATTAAACCACAACACCACCACAAAAAATACAATTGATGACATAGATCTGTATGGGTGAGCAGCATGAAAAAATTACATGTGAAGTGGTCTCTATCATGTCTATTTTCAACCGGTCCAATTTAGTCTTTATTGAGATCAACCTTAAGTCTCTTAAGTGTAAATTAAATATTGCACATAACTAGATATAAAAATTTAGCTATAAATCTAATAAACTTTATTTCTGCAGAAACTTTAAATTTTGTATCAATAAATCATAAGAGAATAACACCCACTCAACTAAACAACTTTGGCAATCACACACATGAGCTGTATGCCTATGAAAGACTTTAGGTGTTATCCCTTAGTTAGTGGGTTTGAATCTCTTTGTTTAGCTTTAGGTCATAAAATGATTAAATTTTTAAGCATAAAAAGATTATCTAGTAAAGACTCACAACCTAAAATTATTTAAATTATAAGAGAGACTAACTTTATTATTTCCAAATGAACAAGAGTAACCATATTTGTCCAAAGAAGAAATTAGAAATTAAATACCACCTAATAGGCAGTGTAACCAAAGTCTCAATTAAATTCAAATAAAAACA